CCACATCTAGACAACTTGGTCCAAAGGGGCAAAGGACAACAGAAGGTGCCCTCCAGGCTGGCCGGTCCAGGGGCCCTTTCTCCCTAAGAGGCTCCAGCGGTTCCTAAAGCTTAAACCAGCTTCCCAGGCCCCTCCCCGCTTCTCACTGCAGTGGGACCCTGAGGGCAGGCTGTGTCCCAGCCTTGCGCTTATAGTGGCTTCTCCACAACAGGGGAGCCCTCTTTTGCATTCAGCCTTGCCACTGGCCCACGCCTTTAGCCAGTTTCACCTGTGGTTGTCTCCCCTTTTCCACCGAGTGGAGAGTGGCTCCTTTTATGCAATGGGGTGGCACAGGGCCCCATCTACCCAGAGACTTGGGCAGGGTCTTAGACTCTGACCCTCTTGGACCCGGCAGGACCCTCCTTTTTTTTAATACCTGTCCCTCCCAATTTTGTTGACAGTTAGACCTTAATGTGCTTCCTTTTTAAAGCAGGCCTTTTACTTGGGCAGGGTGAGAAGGAAGAAATCAGTGGTTAAACTTTTAAAAAATGTATTTGTAAGTACTTTCTAGGATTTAAATCTCACATTCTGACAGCCCAAGAGAAGTTGGCAAGTGAAAAGCAAGTTTATACACTACCAAGCTGTTTTAAAAATTCTCTCTCTGAATATTAACGGAAATGTTTCATTAATTCCTTATCTGGCATGCATCACATGGCCTTCATTCTGCACAAAACAAATACATGAATGAATGAACCTAGCGGGCCTTGACATATGCCAGACACAGTGCTAACCCCTTCACACCTATTTTAAAAATATATATACTTTATTGATTTTTTTACAGGGAGGAAGGGAGAGGGACAGAGAGTTAGAAACATTGATGAAAGAAACATCAACCAGCTGCCTCCTGCAGGCTCCTTTCTGTACGTGCCCACAACCAACGTACACCGGAATCGAACCTGGGACCCTTGAGTTCGCAGGCTGATGCTCTATCCACTGAGCTAAACCAGCGAAGGCCCGCTTCACACCTATAACCTTAGTTCCTTTTCTCCTTGGCCGTGGGGATGAGCACAGCTCGACCCATTTTACAGATGGGGACAGAGCTCTGCCGAGGGCTCCACAGCTGCTGGCAGAGGTAGATCTGTGTGTGACGCTCTTGTGCAGCCTCCCAGGTCTGGCTGCAAATTTCCTGGCATCTGGAGGAAACGGCTTGCCTTTAGGAATTCTTGAAAAAGGAGATTATTATCCTGATCAGCTTTGAAGGACCTATGACATAGAGGGAGGCACAGCCTAGCAGTTCAGGGTATGGGTCTGACAGTCAGCTCATCAGGGGCTGCTGCCGCCATGATCCTGGGCTAGATGACTGTGCCTCAGTTTCCTCATCCATTAAGTGCATGGAGGGTGGCGTTTTTTTTTTTTTTTTAAATAAATTTTTATTGTTCATATTATTACAAATGTTCCTTTCCCCCCCCCCCTTCTCACCCTACCGTCTTCCCTTTTCCCACCCCCCATTGTCCTCATCCATAGGTGCACAGTTTATGTTCAGTCTCTTCCCACATCCCCCTCTCCCCTTTCCCCCAAGAATAAACAGTTCACTCCCCTTCCATACCTCTGATTCTATTATATTCAACAGTTAATATTGTTCCTCAGATTTTTTTTTTTTTAGTTTCCTTGGTTTTTAGATTCACTTGTTGATAGTTACGTATTTGTTGTTCATAATTTTTATCTTTATTTACTTTCTCTTCTGAAAGAACCCCCTTCAGCAATTCATATAATTCTGGTTTGGTGGTGATGAACTCCTTTAGCTTTTTTTTATTAGTGAAGCTCTTTATCTGACCTTCGAATCTGAGTGATAGCTTTGCTGGATAGATTATCTTTGGCTGTAGGTTCTTGCTATTCATCACCTTGAATATTTCTTGCCATTCCCGTCTGGCCTGCATGGTTTCTGTTGAGAAATCAGCTGACAATCGTATAGGTGCTCCTTTATAGGTAACTACCTTCTTTGCTCTTGCTTCTTTTAATATTCTCTCTTTGTCTTTTGCTCTTGGAATCTTAATTATGATTTGTCTTGGTGTGGTCCTCTTTGGATTCCTTTTGTTTGGAGTTCTGTGCTCTTCATGGACTTGTAAGTCTAATTCTTTCACCAGGTGGGGGAAGTTTTCTGTCACTATTTCTTTCAGTATGTTTTCAATATCTTGCTCTCTCTCATCTTCTGGGACCCCCATAATTCTGATGTTGGTTCGCTTGAAGTTGTCCCAGAGCTTTCTTACATTATCTTCAACTTTCTGGATTCTCTTGCCTTCTTGCTTCTGCGGAGAAGTGTCTTCTGGCTCTTTATGTTCCAAATCTTTGACTTGATTCTTGCGATCTTCCATTCTGTTTTTAGGACTCCATAAAATATTTTTTTATTTCAGACAATGTATTCTTTATTTCTTGTTGATCCCTTATTATTTCTAGTTGATCCCTTTTCATATTCTCATAGGTCTTGTTTATTTTATCGGCCTTTTCTAGGAGATTCTTGAACAACCTTGTAAGTGTGGTTTTGAACTCTATATCCAGTTGCTTTTTGTCCTCCATTTCTTTCGTTTGTGATCTATTTGGTTTAGGCATTTTCGCAGGCAGCTTTCCTGATGGGGCAGGGTTTCAGGGTGGAGCCTACAGCCTTGGCTTCTGTCAGCCCCGCCCTATGCGACTCCTGAGACTCAGGGTCCTTCAGTACTTGTTGCGAGCGCCTCTGAGAGAAAGGTGCCCTCGATTTTCGCCTGCTGCCAAACTATCTATGCTCTCCCCCAATGAGTCCCGTATTGGGGTTCAGTTCAGTTGGTAGTGGGATTGGAGGTGGCGTTCAGAGCAGTCTGGAGCCCCTGTCTCCTTCCCGTCAGGGCAATCCCGCGGCACAGCCGGCCGGCCCTTCTCTGAGCGCAGTGTGCGCGCCTCCGGGACCTCCTTTCGCCGCTTCCCCGGAGTCCCGCCTTACAGCCCGGCTCCCTATGGATGAGCCTGGGTCCCCGGGGTCTGGCCTAGAATTGGGGTTCAGAGCAGCTGGAGCTGGGCCCAGCACAGCCGGAGCTTTTCTCTCCTTCCCGCTTGGGACCGCCAGCCAGGCACTCGGCCTCCCTCCTCTCCAGCTCTGTCCTCTCCACGCACGCCACGTGTCTCCATACCTTGGGCTTTTACAGCTCCTCCACGCTTCCTTCTGGTTTTCTCCTTGCTTCTTGTTGTAGAATTTCCAGTCAGTCGACTTTCCTGTAGTTCTGGGTAATGTCCATTTTATATTTTAGTTGTATTTTGTTGAAATTGTTGTGTGTGGCTGCGGCTAGTTGCCTACCCGAGCAGCCATCTTGGATTCTTGGTAATTCTGGGTGGCGGTTTTTTGAAGATTAAATGATGACAGTGACGGAACAACCGCTCCCCTCCACGCAGGGGCTTTTTTTCAGTTATAGCAGCTAACAAATGGTTTCCAATGTGCTAAGCACTTCCTGGATTCCTTGTCCCAAGTGTAACATTGGACTGAGCCATGAACTTAGGGGTTAACTTATAAAGGCAACTGCCCCACCTCAGGTGCTGGGATAGAGGCAGTGTGCTTAGCAGATACCCTGCAGAAAGCTTGCAGCCTTGAGCACAGCTCAGATAACAGGAAGACACCTGGCATAGGAGGAACCAAGGACGAATCAGACCCCCATGTCGGCAGAGCAGCTTGCAGGACCAGATAATTAAGAGGGGGCAGTGAATAGACTATAGGCTGATAAGCATGTACATGAGGTTACTGGCACAGATTCAGATTGCTAGCCCCTCCTCAAAAATGTCTTATTTCTCCCATTGTTTGAGCAAGCGTGCTTACAGAAGCTAGAACTAGCAGAGTTACTTCTTTCAGGGAGGCTATCTGGTTTAGTTACTTCCTGAAATTAACAGAACAAAGGGCCATATGTATTTAGTGGAACATCTTAAATGGCAGTTCTTACAAAATGGAGGTTACCAGAACAAGATGGAGTGCCTGTGGGTTAGATGCAGGGTGAGGGATAGGATGGAGTCAGTCCTTTTAAGGCCCATTGTTCACAGTCACCCAATTCCTGATAGCGGTGGGCCTGAGCACCCTTCCAGCCTGCTGTCTTCACAAAGAAATATGTCATTGGAAAAAAAAAAAAGAGGAAAAGTTAAATAAAAAATTCTATATAATAAAGATGTAATTTGTAAATGGGATTCCCTTAATTTTTTTTAAAAATAGAGCTGCCATTTGACCCAAGGATCTGAATTGTAAGAATATATCTTAAGAATGCTGGAACACCTATCAGAAAAAATATAGGTGTCCTCATATTCATAGCAAAACTATTTTTCAAGAGCTAAGATATGGAATAAGCACAAGTGTCTATAAGTAGATGAGTGGATTAAAACTGTGGTACATTTATACTAAGGAATACTATGCAGTTTGAAGTAGAAGGATCTTTTACCCTTTGAGACAGCATGGGAAGGCCTGGATAGTATAATGTAAGTGAAATAAGCCAGTCAGAAAAAGTTGCAAGTTCTTATTTAAAGCAGAGTACAAATGGGAAGGATGATTAGAATTGAAACAGATAAACATAATCCATTAACTGTACCTTTTCTCAGGAAACACATAGAGAACAATTTCATAAACAATTAAATAATACCTATTTAAAAGAATGAAAAATAGTATGGAAGTAAAACTTAGGATATTTTGCTAATTGTTTAATGGATAATGTTTTAAAAATATATATTTTATTGATATTTTACAGAGAGGGAGAGAGAGGGATAGAGAGTTAGAAACATCGATGAGAGAGAATCATCAATCAGCTGCCTCTTGCACACCCCCTACTGGGGATATGCCCGCAACCAAGGTACATGCCCTTGACTGGAATGTTTAATTGTTAATGTTTTAAAATCACAAATAATATTTTTTTTCAGGCATTATGCCAATATTCTATGACACATTCTGTACCATTTCTGCACCCAGGAGCCTAAAATTCTGTACATGGGAAATTGGAAAAGACTGGACTTCAGTTTTGAAATTACAAATTGTTGCTTTTCTTTCTAAACTGCAGTAGAACATTTCGCTGTTCTTCCTTAGGTGAAATTGGAACATCTTGCTCTTTTTCTTTAGGTAAAGTCTTGGAATTTTGTTCTTTATACTCCTCTGAAGATGGCACTGCTGAAGATGACACATTCGACTCTTCTCTTTCATCTGTTCTTTTGTGTCTCAGAAAACAAAAAATTAAGAGGCATAACATAATAAAAGGAATCAACCAAAGTACAAACAGGTAGTTGGTTCTTTGCCCCATTTGCTTCTGAGGGGGTGGCCCACTGTCAATACTATCTCCACTGCCTTTTTACAGGCAGTATTGGGAGGATCCCATTCATAGTTGCAATGGCAGTGCTGTCTGTTGTTGCAGACTCCTCTCATATTGCCGTTCTCAGGTGAGCAAAAATTTAACAGAAGCGACCTATGGACACACTTCCTTTTGATGCAGACATGTTCTGCCCCACACTCTGTCCCATCTTTCACATCACCAATGTCAGGTATGGTCATCCCAAAGTAGTAGTTGGTATTCCAGTAGGTGAATTCATTGATGCGAGCCCAATGCACAGTAGAATGATTTAGATGGGGAAGTTCTATGACATTTTCACACTGAATCCTCCCACACAAGGTATCTGAGATGCTACATTTTGCATATCTAGAGTACCTGAAACCACAGTTCCCAAAACGGTCACCTAAGGTGTTCATTTCTGTGTAGCAACTCTGATCTGCACTCTTGACCTCTTTGCCAAAAATGTTCCTGCACTGCTCTTCACGGTTATTGCATCGCTTTTCATAGCAGTAGCCACCGTCCTTGCATGACACCCCATTCTGCAAGTACACATCCTCTGGACAATGGTGGGAGGTCCCATTGCACCACTCTGGGAGATCAGTCATTTTCCTCTTGTCTACAAACTTTGCCTGTTGGCAGGATCTGGCAGTCTTTGCAACAAAGCCCAAAAGCACAAGCAGCCCCAGGCCTGAGAGTGCAGTTGGACTCACAGCATGGATCTTTCATACACAATTGTAAAGCGCCACAGTCACACTCTTCTCCTTCTTCAACCACACTGTTCCCACACTGTGCAGGTGTGAAGATGTTCCCTCTATCTGATGACATGTACATACAATTTCGCCTTGCCAGGTAGCTCATCATGTTCATGAAGTCAGCATAGCTGCAGTTGCTGAATGTAGTTCCAACTGCTTTCGGTGAAAACATTAGGCAGGTTTGATGTCCACATGTACAAGTTTCTACATCATGATCCATTCCCAATTATGACCCAGCTCATGTGACACGATGTATGCCAAATCATATAAATTATCGGTCATGAAACTATCAACTCCACAATTCTTACTTCTACATATGCTTCTGAAATAGGCTAAGCCAAAAGAAACACCGAAGTGATGCTTTACAAAAAGATGTATAACATCATGTGGAATGCGGTTACTCAAGCTGGTTTTCTTCCAGTTGCAAAAATTGTCCAGGAGAGTCTCCATATTACCTATTGGAAGTGGGTTCTTTGCAGTCCAGACCTCAATTCCCATTAAAACCACATCAACATCTAGTGGACTCAAAAACTGATATACTGCATTGAGCACAAGTAGTACTTCATACTGCACAGCTGTGACGTTACTTTGGTGATGAATATAGCGTTTGTGGTCCACCACCACTGCCAGTTTAAGAATCCGCCTGTGGGTCCACCAGCCTTCATACTCACTCTGCATCAAAGTGAAACTAGCATTCTCTTGAAACTTCAGTTGCTGTTCAATTTCTTCATCTGTTACTCCACATCTCATAGGTGGCCACTGTGTCTCCTCCCTGTCCACTTTATATATGAAATGTTTAAATGTGTTAGAAAGTGCCTTGGGCTCTATTTCATAAAGAATGTCATTTGCCTGTAATATTCCCTGAAAACCTCCCAAACAGGTACTGAGGGCAACCAGGGATTCTGGGTCTCCCTCCACATAACCCTGATAGTAGCAGTCATTCAGGACAAATGGCTGGTCCTCAAGGAGAGCGCCTTGGTCTGTGTAGGTAAACACTCGCAAGTGTCTGCATAGAAAATGCTTGTTGAGAAAAGGAGGATCTTCGCTGAGACCTGGAAAACCCACAGCAGAGGAGACCATCAAGCAGCTGTGATGCCCCAATTGGCACAAACACGTGGATTCAAGGGAGTTCTTCAATCACCCACGGAAAGGTCAGAGTTTTCTGGAATAGCGTGAGGGTTCTGGGTCTCCGCTGAGCCGGCGCTGCCGCTGTGCGCCCCAGGGCAGAGCTGTGCCATAAGAAGGCTGTGGCTGCAGCGAGAATCCTGCCTGGGGAGACCTAGTGCTGGGTTTAGCGTAATCTTCCCCAGAAGCGGGACTCTTTTAAAATGCTAAGGGACACGGAACAGATTGTTAAGAATCGGGGCTGTCCAACTGGCGCAGACACGCATTCCACAGAAAGGTTGGATTTTGCCGGGGATAACACGCGGTGTCTGTGTCCTAACAGCGAAAGCGAAAGCGGCAGCTGCGGTGACCGTGCAGCCGCTGGGACCCTGGAAATCTGCGTCCACAGAAGCCCCCCATTGTTGGGTCTGGTGTGATTCGAGAGAGTGGACGGGGGACCCCAAGGGTGCTACCAATGGGGTTCTCTAGGGAGCAACCCATTATGATCCGACATGGTGGGAGAGCAGAGGAGTTGGAAAGCAGTCTGTTTGTAAGTGCGTGCAGACTCGCCCATTGTGCACCTAGGCTGGTTCTCCTGCAACACTTTGCTTCTGATTACAAAGGAGAGATCACCCAGATTGGCTGACCCTAAGAGACAGCAGGGGGAAACTGCTTTTCTGGAAACTGAGAAGCAGAGCAGGGAGATATAATCCAGGATTCAGCTCTGAGGCAAAAAACAAAACAAAACAAAACAAAATCCCCGGTATTGAGTGCCACAGAAAAAGAAGGCTAGAGCAGCCAAAAAGATGGGACATCAATCCACATACATTACCACCTAGGTTCTGGAGTACAAACTGACTGTGTTTATTATTAGTTTTATTTGATCAAAAACCAAGAAACTAAGGAATCGCCACTGAGGTGCATCAGAACGCAGAGAACTGCAATACTGACTGGGCTGAGAAACGGGTGTGTCAAATACAATAGAATAACAGAAGTGAATGGCCTCCACAACTGCACATTTTTTTTTTGCTAAATTTATTTTTTTAAAATTTTCATTTTTTTGCATCTTTTACTTAAGAAACATTTTTTTTCCTTTTTTCCTCACTAGATTTTAGTTGGTCCGAAGGTTGTGGGTTATTGTTAAGCAGATTTTAACTTTTTTATTTTTTTATTTTATTTTTTTAATATATTTTATTGATTCTGTACAGAGAGGAAGGGAGAGAGATAGAGAGTTAGAAACATTGATGAGAGAGAGTCATCGATTAGCTGCCTCTTGCACACCTCCTACTGGGGATATGCCCGCAACCAAGGTACATGCCCTTGACCGGAATCGAACCCGGGACCCTTCAGTCCCCAAGCCAATGCTCTATCCATTGAGCCAAACCAGTTTTGGCAGATTTTAACTTTTTAATTATAATATTACATTTTTAAGTTCAATAAGCATTTTTTACTAC